GACTCAGGTATCTGCTTTTGACTCCTACATTACACAGCATTGACATTAAAAGGAGTATCATGTTCCCATTCATCAGAAGCTTAAATTCTGATTGCTTTACAACAGGGAAAGGCAAAATTTCAAAGTAGTCTAAAAATACTGAACAATAAACTAATGTCTTTGCTTCAGAAGTAAAGAAAATCTCTTCTGTCAAAATTAGTATAAAACTGTACAGCAATTCACAAACATTGTGACAGTGAAAAAATACAATTAAGTGGTATATCCAAATTTTTACTTATCTTTATAAAAAAGCTAAAGAAATCAGGGGGATGGCTTCCTAACTGCCACTATTGTTTTCATGGAAAAACCTTAATTTTGTGCTGCTCAGTCTAATAAGACTGAGTGCAAATCCTATACCTGAACGTATAGCTTTTTTCCTTCAGAAAAAGGAAGAAGTACAATAATTGCACCAAAGCAATTACTGATTTTTGGCTGACTGCTCTGTTCTTCAATTTACCTTAGTTCCTAAATTACAATTACAGCACAGATAATTAATACATGTTTTAGATGGAATCAAGTTTGTTTTTCAATAAAGTAGCACCTTTTAAATTAATTAGATTACACACTGAAGGTCTGCATGTTTATATACATTCCTCCATGACAATTTCTCCTTTCCTAATTTTAAGGAAATTCGGTTCAGAGATGCAACCATAGCAGTTCAGCTATGAGCACTGCTTCTCCTCTTATTTCTCCAAGCCTTAGCTAAAATTTTGTCAGACTTTGACACAAGGTATAAGCATAATACGTTAGTGACCCCTCTGTCATGACTTGGCCCAACTTTTATTTGCCAGTCAATATGTTTACTGATACACATACATGTAAGAATATTTATGGTTGCACTTGGTCTTATTTTAAAAACACTCTTTACATATGCAAAACACACATTTAAGAAACCACCACACTGAATTAAAGGGTTTTTTTTTTTGTGTTTTCTCCAAACAAGAGCCAATATTTTAGAATTCAGAGCAAAGTTTTACAGCATAGTCAAGCATTTCTGAAGCACTATTTCAGAACTTCGAAGTTATTCAGGATCCGGATAACCTTGATTCCTTCTTTCCTATTCGTGTCCGAAACAAACACAGGAACTTGCATATGCACAACACATACTCTCCACAGAAGTTCCCTACCATTAGTTCTTGTACTGGGCCCCAAATCTCTACCACATATCTGCAGTTAAGTCAGACTCTGCTTGTACACAGTAGCAGAATTTGCCCCTTCATTCTGCTTTAGAAGTGTTATTAGAAAACAGAAATAAAAGAAGCTCCAGCAAGAGAGATAAATCAGTTGTAACATCTCCTGCCAAACATTCTATAGATACCTAGCTGTATTAACATTTAAAAAAAACATTTCTATATTTTCAAGTGTTTAATTTGTATACTCATGCCCTAAATGTAAGATGAATAGTGTTGCACGTACTTTTAAGGTAGTTAACAATCAGAGCTCTCAGCAGTTTTTCAAAACTTGTAATTCCAGAACAGTTTTCTGCAACAAATACAGCTTTTGCATAACTCAAGTTTGGCTATAGTCCTCTCACGGGATAAAAGACAGGCTGTGCTACAAAAGGTAAGTAACTTACGTTCCCTGTTCCCTTTGGCTTCTTTCCCCAGTTGCTCAGTTTAAGAGAGCTGGATTACATACCCACTGCTGATGAGTCACATTCTGGGAATACCAGAAGATGATGTTCTTAGTTTAATGCATTCATTTTACTTTTCTGTAAAGTCTACCATTTAGTAAAAAAATAAAACTGTCAACATACTTAAGACTTCCTAAACCTTAACTATGTGTCCATACTAGTATACAACTTGGAAATTGAGAAGTAGTAATTGGAAAATTAGCCACACAAACCATATTTTGAAGACTACTCATTTACATGAAGATCTGTTAAAACAAGTATCTTAAAAGATGGCACTGCATTAAAAACAAGCCATTCAATTCACTGTCCAAATTCGGTAATTGCAGATTACACCGGAGAGAAAGAGACATTTTCAAATTTTACCATTTGATGTGTAAAAATGTAGAGATGCCCCTCATACCTCCTGCGATAAACTGTTTTGAAGGTGCATGGGAACCACACATCGTAACTGTGTAGCCCATATACAGTAATCTGAAACTGATGCCTCGGATTTCATAACTGAAGCCTCAGTATTCAGATAAACAGTCATACTTTCATGTTTAAAACTGTGAATTCACATTCATGCTTTAAGGGTGCTTAGTGCATTAATAATATCCAACATCGTACAGAAAGTACTTAGTATTTTACAGTATAAAGGACTAATGTTGTTTTTGCAGATTTAAGCAAAGTGCTAAGCAAATTTTTCTTTCTGAAAACTTTCTACTAAGCAAGCAGTCAGGAATGATCCAGTATCTGCTTGGCAAATCTGACTATTTAAAGGCAGAACTACATTTTTTGAATGCAAGCTCTGGAAAGTAATTTATATCCCTATTTTCCATTCCCTTTTATTGCAACACATTTTCCTGCCAAAATAATCCATGCAAGAATGCACGACTGAAGGAATCTGCTCAGAGTTCAATAGTGTACTGTCAACTCCCTTAGTCTGATATATGACTCTTAATTGAGGGAATTGCCATTTTTCTCTTTTTTTTTTTTAAAGCAGATTTTTAGGAGTAGCTCCAAACAAAGAGATAATGAAGAATAGCTGAAAAAATCTGCATCTCCAACGCTCTGTGACTAGTTCAATAAAGCCAGCAGTTATCGTTCAGGAAGACAAAGCCTTTGCATTTTGCAAACCAAATATAGTTAAAATTCTTCATCTTCTGTTGACTTAGCAGTGACATCTGAAAGTGCGTAGATAAAATTGACAAACTCCATTCACACAACAATAACTTAATTCTAAATATATATCTGATGTGTTCTAAGTAAACACTAAGGCTACGAGAATAGTTAGATTCTCCCTTTGCTAGAAGAAGCAAGATAAAAAAAGAAGTCATGTTGTTGCACAGAACTGCATTTTTCCAAAATAACTCTACACTAAAAAAAAATATTTGGAGAATCTACAAGAATGCATATTGGGATTGAAAACAACCACAGTAAACAAACGCTTAGAGATTAATGCATTTACATCTATTTAATTTAATTATTATTCTCCAAACAGAAAAAAATATTTCTGAAAATAACTGACTATATATAGGATTTCCTACTGAGAAATCCTACAGTAAGGCATGCTGTGTACAGTAATAAAAGTTTGCAGGATTGAGCCCTAAATTTATTTGCTCAATATTTGGGCAAAGTTGCAAGCAGTTGCCATTGCTTGACAATGAAAATATAACATTTCAAAAATCATAGTTAGTAGACAACAATTATTTTCACGATTACTCTTATTATGGTTACCTAAGTCTAGGGTTTTCATCCTGTATTTGAATCCCATAATCCAAACACCATTATATGGCAGACCACATAACAGAGCAAAAGCATCTTCTTCAGAACAATGTTAGCAACACTAAACTTTTATTACAAGTTTTCTCTCTCTTGCCCCCCAAAAGTGCATGTGCTGTCACAGTTTAATGACTACAAAATTAACTAAACCTTTTGACTCTAGTGGGAAATGTCAGTTTACACAGGATCAAAAGCATTCAACTACTGCAATCAAATCTACCTGTATTCAGCAAAACTATAAACCAATGACATTGGTTCATATGTTGGTAATCTACATAGATTTCGATAAACAGCATTTCATAGCTCCGCATTTCAGAAGTAATTCACTCAATACAGGAGATGTATGAATAATCACTAAATGTGTCGGAGAAGAGTAAATTTCAGTTGCAAAAGGATCCTTCAAAATATCAAGTAAGGAATTTTGGGGGGAAAAGGCAGGTTACACAGATATACAGATTCAACTATCAGGAACAGTGTGGCCAGCAGGACCAGGGAGGTGATTGTCCCCCTGTACTCGGCACTGGTGAGGCCGCACCTCGAGTACTGTGTTCCGTTTTGGGCCCCTCACTCCAAGAAGGACATGGAGGTGCTGGAGCGTGTCCAGAGGAGGGCAACGAAGCTGGTGAAGGGTCTAGAGCACAAGTCTGATGAGGAGCGGCTGAGGGAGCTGGGGTTGTTTAGTCTGGAGAAGAGGAGGCTGAGGGGAGACCTTATTGCTCCCTACAACTACCTGAAAGGAGGTTGTAGCGAGGTGGGAGTTGGTCTCTTCTCCCAAGTAACGCGAGATAGGACAAGAGGAAGCGGCCTCAAGCTGCGCCAGGGGAGGTTTAGGTTGGATGCTCGGAAAAACTTCTTCAGGTAGACGTGGTGCTTAGGGACATGGTTTAGTGGTGGACTTGGCAGTGCTAGGTTAACGGGTGGACTCGATGATCTTAAGGGTCTTTTCCAACCTAAACAATTCTATGATTCTAACTAGTTCAAACCATGCTTCCTCATGAGGCCAGCACTTGATCTAAATGACTATATGCTTGCTCCAAGACACTGTCTGCAAACATGTTTGTGGTATTTGAACAAGCAATACAAATAGCTGGTCACTGGTACACTTACCACATTTTGTGCTTTAGGTTCTTTTCACAGCACTAATCCATCAGAAAAAAAAAATACATGCACACAAATAACACTCTCTTTCATATCCTTAGCCAAAAGTTGTCTCAAGTCTTGCCGTAATTCTTAACCACATTGCTTAGGCAGAAAATTTTTTATGTTGCTTTATAGAGTTTTTTTAAACAGCATTTTCAGCATTGTTGCTTTGTTTATCGCTCTAAGCTTCTATTCACTGCCACTTCTCACGTCTTCCCCTTGGGCATTCCCTAGCTCTGCAACATCAGTTTTGCAATTGTTTTGGAGCAATCCAAGTCCCCATAAAGACCAGAAGGTGAAGAAACAAGGGAAACACAGGATAGCCATTCCAGTAAATAAACTGATTGCCCCAAATGGTAAGGATTCACCACATAGGTCATTTAGCACCAGAGACAAAAATGACGCCTTCACTCAACAGTTCGCTTACCTCTCGCAATTCAAGCCTCTGAGCCACTGCTTCCAGACTTTCCTGGCCCGTGCTTTCCACCGACAGCGTGAACTCCACAAATTCATTGTTGAGCAGCTGGATACGAGCCACCAAGCAACTCTTGCTGGATACTGTGTAACGTCGAGTTCGTTTCAATTTTAACCCAAAAGGTAAAGGCATCTTCTTTTTCCCCCACAGATGGTTACTGATAAACAGCTACTACCACCAGGACCTTGAGAGGGGACAAGTAGCTATCTCCTCTCAAAAGGTAAGGAGCTGTAAAGTCTCCAGAGATCAACCAGCAGCAGCAGTATCCATTAACAAAAAGCAAGTTTTCCACCAAGAGACAAGTAGAAGGGGCATCCACTGGAATCCTAGTAAGGAGCAAAAGAGAAAGAGAATAAATAAAAGAATCGGAAATACTTTGACTGAAAAGGGAATGGTAACATGGGAAAAATAACATGTATATTTTTTCTAAATATAAATAATCAGTCTACTTTTCCAAAATGCAGAGCTGTTATGCATTCAAATAACGACATAAGCACCAGAGTTTCTGGTTTTCCCACAGACACCACCAGTCTTTGTCAAGTTGATTTTTTTTTTTAACTCACGAGTGAATAATGAGTCTTAATCAAATGTGGCTGCGGTGTCTTAAGTATTTCTAAGCTGAATCAGTATTTAAATGAAATACCTCTACGAAGTCCGAGTTGCCTAAGGTATTTCTAATACTGAACAAAGCCATTTTCTTCAACAGCAAAACCAGCAATCTGGCTCGTTTTTCAGAGCGGCGTGCAGCCTCAGCCGCTGTCTGTTGCACTAAACACAAAACCAAGCCCTACAAACGATTAAGGAAAAAAAAGAAAGGCAGGAAGAGAGGCATTAAAACTCACACCTTAGCCATTTCCTACCAGACAATTAAAATCCAATTCCTCTAATTTCCCTGAATTACAGCTAGCTGTACCAGTATTTTTTAGGCTGAACTGCTGGATGATGTTTCTGCTTACACTTTGCCTCACCAAGAGAGTATGCGAATTCTGAGAACTATTTATTTTCCAATTTTTCCTTCAAAAACATACTTATTTCCAGTCTAAAGGTAGCCACCCATTTCCCCACCTTTTACAAACACCTTCACGCCTCCTCTCCTGTCAACTCCGTAACATACAACCTTCGCCTTTCTCCTGTTTCAAGTGTTTTTTTACCACATGCCCCCTAGCCCGAGAAGCTCGTCACTCTTAATAGCGCTGGTTTTCAGTAGGACACGCGAAATAAAAGCATCCACTAAATGAAGTGGTTTTTTCTGCAGAAGGACGCGTGCTGAGGGCAGTCGCTACAGCCAGCCGGGGCGCCGGGGCTACCCCTGCAGTGACAGCGCTTCCCCCGCGCCAGGTGAAGCCACCGCCGCCTCGAGGGGGTGCACCGCCTCCCGCGCAGCGACGCGGCCCAG